TGATCATGTGCTTATCGAGAAACGGCTGGCAGTCCCCTTCCCTATCCTGACACTAGTGGCAGTGGAGAGGGTTGGAGGGGAGAAAAAAGGAGAGAAGTTAGTGATCTGCAGCATGAGTTAGCTCGGGAGATACAAACAAAAACAAAAATGCTTTAATAAGTGTAACAACAGTCATCATGAAAGGGCAACAAGAGCTATATTCAGCAGTTAAGAGCACTGAAGTATGTGTTAGCGTTGGTAAATCTATAAGACCATTGAAAGTTTTCAGGCATAAATGAAGGGAAGTAGACTACACAAACTTGAGGAATGAGCACTGTGAAACAACTGTTCATGTCTTTCAGGGAGAGAAAGAGTATTGCTTTGAACTTTGTTGCTTTCCATCAAAAGATCAGGGAATATTCTACAATCAAGTATAATTATACATGTAATATAAATTTATATAAAAACTTGTGACTTAAAAAAACTGTTTCTACACATCTAACAACAGTATCTTGACAGATCTGGTTCTTATTTATGTATTTATAGGCTCGCTTGATACTACAAGTTAAAGGCCCATGACCACGGTACCCCTGTCACCCCTCTATCTTCAGTCCATACCTGGTATTCAAAGTTGTTCTCATCCAGGAAGGATTTGTGTAGCGTCTGTGTGAAATACTTGATGGCAGTCAGGACAACACTGTCAAAACAAGTTTAGAGTTATCAAAATGTCAGTGTATACATGTACCTTAATAGAACTTAATATGGCAGACAGGTCAACTTCAACATTAAGAAGCTGATGTATTACAGATCCTCCCAATGCCAAGTATCACCACCATGTCCAGAAACAAACTGGATGTGACTGTGGATCAACTTTCTAAACATTTCAGACCTTAGCTACATGTACACATTTTCCACACTGCAGAAAAGAAAAGAACTACTAAGAATCTTTAACACTAAAAAAACAGGTTAGGCATTCATCACCTACAATGCTACATGTATTGCAAGCAACAGAAAAAGTACTTTTGAGCCCTGCATGTTTACATTGTATGAGTGATGTGAGCTATACAATAAACACATGTATAGGTTGCAGAATTCGTCAAGAAAATACAACTGTAGTACTACAGAAGAATCAAACAGAGTGAAGATTATACTATGATATACTAACTTAGTATATCATAATTATATTTGTGATATCTGTGTAACAAAGGAATGTACATGTACAAGTCCTGTGCCTGTCCATATGTAGACTGAGACTTACTGGTTTTGGTGCATGGTCATGACCACCCAGTCCCTGGGGTACACGTTCTTACTGACCAGGTCACGGAACACCATGAAGATCTCCATCAGAAAGTCCTACAGGCAGACAGACAACAAATGTCCAAACTTGCACCTTCAACTTGTTCATCATCTGTCACAATGTTGTGAAATTCTATGCCAGTACCATAACATTGTTCATTCCAAATCCTTCATGAAGTCCAACATGCCAAACTTTGATCAATATGCAGACATGTAAAAGACTATCATAATGATAATCTCTTGTGAAGACTTTGAGAGCCCCAAGCTACATGTACATATTAGGCACAATCATCATCTTTGATTGAGAACATAGAATGAACATGAAGTGAAGATGAAGTTCTTACCAGTAGATCACTTCTGCTGGGGAAGGCATCAATGTAAGCCTGGTAGTGGTACTCGTTCATTTGACGCAGGATGCCCGTCATACACGCCACAAATGAACCCTGTTGGGTGAATATGGCATACATGTCAGTTAAGTATATACTGTATAGATCTCCAACTACAGGATTGTGCATTCTTTTTGTTTCAGTGTCTTGTTATCTCGCAGACAGGAAAACTAAAAATCACTTGCCCCTCTTTAACTTCCCGTCATCCATGAGGTGATTATGGATGAACAGTCACTCTGACAAACTTACGATAAGAGGAGCATCCCTGTCCATGAAGATGACTGTCTGTATCACTGTCCTGAGGATCTCTTTCATCACTATCTCCATGTCACCGTGGATGGGACCCTGTTTCAATGCAGAAACACAGAAAAATCATAAAGTTAACACAAAAGCATGCAGTTACAAAAACAAATTACATACAGTATGTAAATGAAAGCAGCAAATTGTCACACAAGCCATTGTGATCCATCGTGGTCCATTTGTCAAGAATATTGCCAGGTAGGTACATCAATAAAAAGACTTTTTTACACAACCAATAGGCTTACTCGGCTGATGTTTTGGTCATTGAAAAGAATCTTTTTATTCAGTCACTTACCAACCTGATGAAACTATTTACAGGCAGGTTAGGCTTAGATGACATAGAATGATATAATGGTGCGTACCACGTCTTTCCTGTTGAGGCGGTCTAACACGTCACTCAGCATCTTCACACAGTCTGGCATTTCCTCCTTCCTCTCGATAAGCTTCTTCAACTGGGCCATCATCATGGGCAGGAGGATACCTCGGCACTCTACAGGGAACAAGTGTTTGGGGAGGACTTTCTTAACTTATTTGCTCAATGTAAGGCCAAGAGACTACATCTAGCCATTGAACTAAGTTTGGGTTACTGGAACAGCATCTCTTCTCCCTAAGACAGAAACATCAATGCTGAAGACAGACTGAGAGTGGGGACTAACTGACTCAACAGGAGAAGCAGGGGTTACAAAGGCTGCTCAGGAACATTCTCTAGTCCTAGCCTATTTAGACCAGAATGGTTTTGATCCACTCACAACAGGAAGGACCCTTTCAATTTAATAATCATTATTACTCTAACAATTCTAAAGGATGCCCCTATACTCCACAGGGTACAGCATAAACTGAAGTGGGCAATCTTGCATGTCACATATCGGGACTTATCTCTGCAGTGAGATTGCACTTAAACACAACACAAAGCCTCCATTATCATACTACAGAGGCCAGAGATGGTGCAGTTCTTCCTACTGTAGCCATCCCAGAATAAAGCCAATATTTACTAAACCTGCACAGGGACAGGAGTAACTAGCGAAGTACATATAATCCATGGTCGGAAGCCGTTCTTACCTGATAATCTGAAGAGGTCACTGTGGACGATGTTGTTCATACACTGTACCTTCTGTTTCACCAGCCGGTCAGGGGGAATGTTGTTGATGAAATCCTTCAGCAGGAGGCTGGATTAAGGACAAAAAGGGTACAACTATAGCACCATGCTTGATATCATGGTTTCAACACAGTACCTTCCCTTTAGAATCATCTTGACTAACAGTTGACACTTGATATCTTTCATTCCAGGGAGTACTTGCCCCTTTAAGTTGGTAAACTTTAATTGGGGAATGAAATGAACAGAATCTTATCGATGTATACGACATGGCTATGGAAGTACCATTGGTGCAGTGTGTACTTCGTCAACTTTAGTTCATACACTCACTGATACCTTTTATTGCTTTTTCTCCTAAGTAACTTATTGTAGTCAGGAAACAGGTGGCTGCAAAAGGTCCAGAGAAGGAGACTGGAGGAGGGACAGGGTGGACAGAAACAGAGGAGGAGAAAAAAAACAGAAGCAAGAACAAAAGATCAATGGCCTGTCACAAAGCAAGTAACAGAACTGGTTGGAAGGGTAAGCACTCAGATTTTTACCCCATCTGAAGTTTATTGTGAACAAGCAAAAATCAATGGCACAGACATGCAAATAGAGCAGCATTGAAGACAGAAATCAAGGGGGAAAAATTCAACGAAGTGTTCAATATAACATCAAGGCATAGCATATTAAACAGGAAACATATTGTTACATACATTTTGGCAAAATGTCTCATGATAATGGAGACATACCTCAGTTCCTTTGGATCGAACACTGTGATGACATCAGGGATGACTGTGGGAACGTATCTCAGTGCTGCCCCCTGGTGGTCAAAAGGAATATTGCAATCAATTAGTCATAAAGAACTGCAAACCTGCAGACCTTGAAACACTACAACTGGTCCTTTTGTTGGTAGACCATTTCATGTGATAATTAATTTAATCTATTGAAATTGTCAATTTGACACTGGTAAAAAAAATTGAGAAAAACCATTGATATTATATAATGATAATTAGAAATCGTTTAAAATTCAATACCAGGTATTTCATCAAAACAACTATGAAGATAAATGAGTGTCTGTAGATGATAGCAGAAACAGGTTATTAGTATACATGGCAATAAGATACACTGTAGTACTTGCACAGTTGTATATTGAAATAAAGGTAAGCTTGAGGCAAGCTGCGCAAAATTACATTTAGGGTTCACAGACACATGTAAGACAGGAGAAGGAAGTTACTTTAAAAAAACTGTTTTGTTTTGACCTGCATGATACTAACAAATTGTGAAGGGCCATGGAGGACCAACTGCTATGGAGGAGACTTTGTGGATTGCTTGGAGCGGGAGCTCAAACCAAGTAAGTAAGTTTATTTTGAGCACAGAGATAGCAGAAACACAAAGGGTTTTGAATGAGCTACCATGCAAGTAGCGTTAATGACATCTTGATTCAACTGAAAGTTTGTAACCTACAATGCATGACTAGAGAGTTTCCCACAAAAGGCTTGATTACTAGTACACATTTACTACATTTGCAGTGATGAACAGACAGAAGACAGTAGTATAAGTACACCACACAGCTGTGAGGAACAGTACCTTGATTACTCTCTACAGTCCAGGAAGAAGAGAGTCGTGCAGAGGAGAGACAAGACACAGATTAGGCAGGCGTAAGGCTTTCAGAATTCAAAAGCTGTGCATGCTGGGAAGACAACAGAAGGCAGTTACATAGCTAAAGCATGGATCCAACTTACTGAGCATTTAGCACTGTTCTATCATTTTGAACTTGTTAACATCGTGATACAAACATCAAGGCAATTCTGCACAAAAAACAAGAATTTTAAGGTACAAGGCAGCACAATCACGATGTGAGACAAGTTAGCTATAGTACTATTCTGTCTCCAGCCGGATGCGAATGCTCTCCTTACCTGCACCCCTACTGTAGAGTCAGATGTGTATGTCATCATGCCATTCAGAGACTGGAAGAGATGGCGGACTGCTGCCTCAAACTGCTGCTTGCCTTTCCCCTCATACAACCTGGAATGGCAAGACAAGCATAGTGGGTGAGAATAGTATGAAAAAAGGGACGTTACATGTACCTCAAAAGGGATTGGACCAGCACTTGACCTGCACTGACAAATATACATGATAGTCTATCAGCTGAGCTACAAATACAATCTGTTGTTGAAGAATGCCCAGCTTTGTAATATAGGACCCATACCAGCCCATAGCATGACATAGCATGTGCAACTAAAGTCTTTAGTAAAGAGGAAGCATATACATAAGAAAGGTGACTTACTGTGAGTAGAGCACTCTGGATCTGACAATGAACTTGAAGATGTACTGTAGAGACTTCATGGCCTTCAGGAGAGACTCATGGTTATCCCGCTCATTAGCATTGTCGATGTAGTACTTCAAAACCACCATCAGTTTACTGGGAATAGGGAGGAACAACTTATTTAACTACAATATACAATATATACAATGTCTTTAGTACTTTACTGCTGAAGGGAGTAGACATGTACATTAACTAACAAATACATGTATAACCATGGAACTACATGTAACACTCAAAAACCTGGCAAGTTAATTCATGTACATTTACCCCAATACTTTGGTGTCTGATTTGCCATAGAGTAGGCAGGATCATGATAAAATCAGTTAGAAACTGTGAAAAGAAAACATTTAGCCAGGATAGCATTTTCCTTGATATGAAAATGTTTCATTCAAAACAATTGAATTGAATTAAACTCAAGTTAAAGAATCCTGAGCTGACTGTTGACATGTAAGAAGAATTACAGGCCTGGGATGCTCAATTTTACACAGGGCAACCCCAGAGGGTACAAAGGTATTGTCTATGATAATTTGTCTACAAACCAGTACAAGTCGAATTAACTCCACCCCATCATAACCAGTAACATTGCCATGGGTATCTCCATCACAATCTCATACAAGTCAGCAATTGTAAAGGTTGCTCTAGTTCTCTGTTCAAAATAGCCCGGATTTAACGGCACAATAGCGTACTATTTGGCACAACTGAACCAACAAAATAAATTCTAGTTCAGTTATGCCCTGAGGATAGGCTTAATCAGTTGGAAGAAATGTCGAGGCCTGGAAAGTTCTTCTGTAAGGGACAGACCAGGAAATATCTTAGGGGAGAAAATTTGAAAAAAAAAATTAATTCATGACAAGAAGTTGTAACGAGAAGCAAATTTGACTGCAAAGTGTAGGAAATGTAAGGGAAGAAATTACAAAAACTGTTGATATGGCAAAATGCATGAAATCAAAATGAACCTTCCCTACCAAAACCCTTTCAGCTCTGTCCCTAACATGTTGCTTCAGCTTTTTATTGCTTGTGTTTAATTAAAATCAGTAAACTGACCTTTGCCACATTAGGATACCAGAAGCTATGTTATGAACCTATGGTGTTCATGTGTGCATTCATGTGCATGTAAATTGTGCAAGCAAATTTCATGTACAGGTGTCAATCCATAGCAGCCAAGCTGACTTTCCACAATATCGAGGATTTGAAAATGATTTATTGTGTTCCAGTAACAATGCCCAGCAGGAGATCACACATATAACAGGTGACAGACGTGTTGCACTGGGATGGCTGTTTGGTTTTAACACAACAATACCTGGTGATTCAGACAATACACACTCCTGAATCACCTGGCACATTGGTACAATGAACTCTCCACACCCTCAGACACATTTTCTTGTTAAAATTTTCACCTTGATTCTAAAGATAAAATTAGCACCAACTCTCTAAAAAATATCTAAAGGGGGATTGAAGGGATTTCAGCTGCTTTGTTTTGGAGCAACATACTGTCCTAGAATGTGTGACATTTCATGTTTATATTGGCTAAAAAAAGGGTAAGTTGATCCAGGACAAAACTATCAAATTTGCCAAAATGAAATGACTAATCCTTCATCAAATCCAAGCCTTTGATAGAGATTTGGTGACTATCAATGTAAGTAAAATCACACCTTGCTCATATGATTGACTCATTTTATGAACGTCGTCTAAAATGGCAAAGGCAATAAAACATTACATTATCATACAGAGTATAATATTATCAAATAAAAAGACTACAACATCCCAAGATGGGACCAACAAAACATTGAGACAACTATCTCTCTATTTACATGCAAACAAGGCATCTGCTTAAATCAATCAGGCAGCCAAGACACCGGTGCAATCTATGCAGGGACAGGTAATTACTGTCATTAAGGTCTGAAAGAAACTGGATCGTTAAGAAATACTACTGTGCAATGTTTACACAGCAACACAACACCACTTAAGAAAATTGCTGTCTAAACAAAATCTTCAGAGATAGAAACAGGTGAGGGCAAAACAACTAAACATTGGTAAAGTACTACCAGTAATTCATGAACAAAGGGAAAAACAACACTTGTGGCAGTCAGACTAATATAAGTCACAAATACATCTTATGGAAACATATTTGTTTGTTCACTTGACAAAATTTATATTATACAGTTGTACTGTAGTTTGTAATTCCAAACTTTTCAACTCGTACGACTTACTTCCACTGAAATATCTTATCAAGTATGTGTCTGACAAAAACAAAGGGACTTGCAAGTACATGTAGGTCTAAACATACTAGTAACATCTTGTAGTATAAAAGTTATCAATTCACGTAACATATGAGAAATATTGAGTGTTGTTGATCCTTAAAACCTAGTCTGTGGTCTCCATTCACAGCTAACATTAACATAAGCCCCCTGAGCATTACACATGTGTTATCACAGTTCAGATCTGGAACCCCCCTCCCCTCCCCATGTATCTCACATCACCTGCTGAAGAAGCTAGCCTCTTGGCACAAGGTACAGCTGACCTCTCCTGACAGGAGCAGCTCCCGTTCTGGGAGCTCCTTCATGAGCGGGATCATCTGGCACATGGACGACTTTTTACTGGACTGTTTTGAGAGGGAAGATGGTGCCAATCCCTTCATGGCGAGAACCCGAAATACCGCCCTATGTGGCCAGAGGCCATCCGTCTGACTAATCGGGTCATGGGACATCTGCCACAGTGGCAGACAGTTGACCTCTAAATCATACAAATCGCCATGTCATGTGGTCATTACAGCATTGAAATGGGCCCCAAACATTGCAGTTGCTGTGAATACTAACATATTGCAACTAAGTGCTTCATCGATTTAGTATAACGTGAGAGCATTTTAAACCTGTGTATGAGCTTACATGTAAGACTAAACTGGGGCCTCTACTTGTAATTTTTTTGTGTGTTGAGTGTTCAAATTATTTCCCACTTCTTCAGAGTGACACACAAAGAATTGTAATATTTATCATACCATCTTGGAGGGAACTTTATACCAGCTTTACAATAAGTTCTCAACCAGGAAAAGAAAGAATCTCTGTGAACAGAAGTTGGCCTTGACATTTCCATTACTGTAATGATAAGCATGACCTGTGCTCTGTCTTAGCTTTAGCACAATTACACAGACTGACTGGGGTAACAACATGCCTCTTACACTGATAACATGCCTCTTAAAAGTGCATTTGTTAAACATTTTAACAAATCTTTGTGCTGATCTCAGAGTAACTTTGCCTATTGTGGTCAAACTTTTCATTCTTCAAACTTTTAAAACATTCAGGTACATTGAATATCCTTTTAGTACTGCTACGGAAAGGTTTTACCATCTTTCCTGGTCTTTTTCTGTAGTTGTGTAACACTATATGTGCCTTTTGTGACAACCAAGCATGGAATTATGGAGGCCTGACTAAAAGATATCACTTCCTGTTACAGCTTATTTCATAATTGGTCTCCAGGGACTTAGTAAGAGGGGAATGATAGGGTAAATCACCAACAAGTTGGGTAGAAAAACAGTCTTTATTGTTTTGAGGGGACAAAGAAGTCACTATGATTGTCAATCTATCAAAATCATAAGTGAAAAACCCAAAGTGTGTCATATGTTTTCATTATTAGTCAAAGATTTTAACAACCTATAAGTAGGTCTCTCTCCCTAGAATAAATGAACTTTTAAGAAAGAATGGGGTGAATTCAGGGAAAATAATGCTTCTTCCCAGTATGAAAAGTATGATAACACCAGACAACTGGTACCTTGTACAGTGTCTTATTGATCCTCCCAAAATTTGATACAATGTATGTAAATACCTTCAACCCTAAAAGATCAGTTGTGCCTACTACATGTATATATTGTAAGAATGTGGTGATTATGCAGTACCTTTGTTGTCTGCTAGGTGTCATGGTTTATTACAAAAGTGAGCTAAAATGTGCATTGTAACCTTGCATCCCTATTTCCACATGTACTCACTTGTAAGCCAGTGTGGCACTGAAATGCTCCCTGATGTATGTGTCCAGGACTGGGTGGAACTGGTGGAACTTCCGGTCAGCGATCAGACCAATCACACCAATCTGCATGGTTCAAAATGACTGGTTATACATGTAATATAAGTGCTGATGAAAACTTGACACAACCATTCAGATGGAACAGGCATCAGAAGTGGTCTTGACATACCAAACAGCCTAAAGTTACAAGCTACATCAAAAATGATAAATCTTTTCCTATCATATATACATATGGCCTCCTTTGGTCAGTACTGACTGACCATGTTAAAATACTAATTGTTAACAGCCCTACAGCTTTGTCTATAGCTGAACAGTCCTATACGAGAATTACAGTCTCTGCCACATGAGGAACATTAATTTTGTATCCAAGCGTTACATGTACATATCTAAGTCTGTGATGACTCACCAGTGCATCGAAGACTAGGTTGTCATACAAGTCTGAGTCTTGGTTCTCCATAAGGATGTTGAACAGAGCATCCAAGACATCTTGAAGGAACTGGGTGGAATTGAAAAACAAAATTGGAAACTAGTTGAAATACAGGACCTTACTTTCTTACCACGTCCTTGTTTATTAAAAAACTGATGCGGTTACCATAGCAGTGTTAGAAATACCTATCTGCACTCTGCATTTTGCAGAGACCTTTTCACAATATTGCAGAACGAAAATTAAGCAACCTGCAATTTTGCAGACTGAAAAACATCAGGCTAGGGTGCAATGTTGTCGTAATAATATTCTTCAAGAGCTTTTGTAAATACTACTGACTCTATAATGGACCTAGTAATTTTGCTTTTTTCAAATTTTATGTAAAATGTTTGCCAACAAGCAATTTTATATATGCCATCTCCAAACCCATCAGAAGTGAACCCAGGCTATTGATCATCCTCGTCTATGTATGAGGGACAAACAAGAAGAGAATATGCCACGGGATCAGGTCTAGACTTGTGTATATAAGCGTGTATTTGCATATTGCAGAACAAAACTTTGACATTCTGCAAGAACACTGAAAAAAAGTATTTCTATCACTACCATAAAAAGAAAGAAATGATGACACTATCGCCATGGTTACCTTGACGACCTCCTCTCCGCTGACCTCGCACACCTTCATGAGTGACAGCAGACTGTTCTTCAGGTTCCCGGGGTTCGCTCGCCATTTCAGCAGCCCCAACAGGTCAACTGGGACAGTCAGCCAACAACACAGGTTACAACACAGGGAGATAAGTCTACAGTTTTCTTGCAATATACATTCTATTTTTTTTGCTCTAGATGTTTCTTTTTATTGCAATACATGTGTACAAATGTATAGGGTGAAGAAGATATTGTAAAAAGGACCAAGCACACAATGTCAATTATTAAGAGTGCAAATGTAGGGGCTAAATACAGTATGCAACCATAGCAAAGCCTCTTTGCACTACCAGCAAACCAGAAACATCATGCTCAGTTTTAGGTCGCCTGTTTTACCTTTACCTTTACAGGGAGAGGTTAGAAATAAATGATGAAAACCACATCTGGTACATGCTACCACTGTTTTATTTTGCACAGTTACAGAGTGTTTTTTCCATCCATTACCCCCAGAACCCAGAGCTGATGGTGACTCACCGTTCTGTGTGAGTTTGGTGGAGCAGCCTAACGTCTGGATCTGGAAGCTGTCCTTACTGAGAGACAGGCTGCCAGCATGCAGGGTGGACTTGCTGTTGTTGTTAGTCACACCCTGTCTGTCCAGGGCAGGCAGACTCAGGTAAACCTTGGCCTCATCTGGCTTATTTCTCTCACACTGGAAGAACGGAAGGGCAAGAAACATTCAGATGCTTTTCATTTCAGAATAATTTGTATGTAGTGACACCGGTAGGATTGTTTCATTTCTAAGGTCTAAATTCAATCTTTGAACCCAATTCATTTTATCCCAAACGCATGTTGTTAGAAACCATTCTCAGAGCATCTCATAGCTCAGAGGACTAACAATAAATTAATACATGTACATTTGTATTTGTATTAGGAAAATAGGGATGGGGTGTGTGAAAATGCTGGTGCAAACTTTCCTGAGGTCAGCCTTTTATGCCAATTGTTGCTTCTAGCCAACTTTGTTGTTGTGCCCATGTAATATTCCCACCTGCTCCATGATCTGTTCTGATCTATTCAAAAGTAATCAGTAGTCCTAAGTCTGACTCCACCATTAAGTAGTACAAGAGTGTATTTGTGCGGTACCTTGTAGACTGCCAGGTCATGTTTGCCATCCCTGAGTGTGGTCCCTTCCTGCATCATCAGATGTACGTACGCAATGGCAAAAATCTTCTCCTTACGATCTTTCTCTGCAGAGAGAACAGAAGTCCAACACATTCATTATATCAACAATACAAACTTGGAACAATATTGGCCAAGGAATAATGCTACCCTTTGTATGTTTGACTCATAAAAGAAACATTGGCTCTATGTATCAATGACTTCTCTTCCACATTCATGCCACATTACTAAGGTAAGGACTGAGCAGTGAACTTAAAATATGTCATTTCAAACCCAAGGCAAAGTGTGCTATATCCTTGCAACTTAGCCATTTCATAAAGTTATCAATAAGTGTAATTATTGAATTACTTATGGTGTTACTAGTAGATTAAGGCTGTAAACTAGATGCATTTTTTAATCACAATGAGCACTCTGCAGAATTCAAAAAGATCTTGAACAGTTTTATCTACATAAAGACACTAGTAATTTTCTCCAAACCACAGCTGTTCCCCTCACCTTCCATGGAAGACCTGTGTCGGAAGGCAAACTTGAGGTGGGAGCCGTAGAAGTCCTCGATGGGGATGGCCACCTTGATGGTCTCCATCCAGCGTGGCTGTTTCTGCTGGTAGTAGATCACTGACTTGTACTCACTCACAGGGGGAACACCAGCACCCGTGAAGATCACATTCTGGAACATGGGGGACAAGCTGTCATTTATAGATGTCTGTGAAAACCCATCAATAGTGGTAATTTATGAGAAAGTAATCAGTGGATATGAAGACAATTGGAACTCATGATGGCTATAAGTAAAAAGAAGAAATTTTCTTAACCCTGTACAATTTACAAATATTCCTGACTTGAACAGATACAGCCCAAAGAAGTAGACTCTTAGTAAGATACAATGTACTTATCAGTTCTGACAGAATACAGTACTTATATATCAGTAGATGCCATATTTGTAACCTGTACAACTGATGTGCAACCAAGTTATTATCAACCTAAACTTTAGGGTAAAGCACACTGAAGTGTTAATTTGGCCACCAATATTCTATTGGCTATGGGGTTAGGCAGCATGGAGGAGGTTAAGACAAGTGAACTGACTAACCTGTACTACTGAACCATCATCTTTGCACACACACATCGTCACTTCCACGTTCTTGTTCCGAGCTTTGGTCCCTCTGTCAAACTCCCCAGACACCAGCGTCACGTACATGTCATTCCTGACATCACCTGGGCAATGGGAGAATCATAATGTATCATTCCTATATCTTTAAATGCTTATCTATCATCAGCGACAGTCATGTTTTCACATGCACTTATCATTGTCTGAAACGTACTAACAATTACAACATTATCAAAGTGATGCAGTCGTCATCCAGCAGTGCAGATTCTAAAGAAGTATGAATGTATCATACATGAAAACTATCATTCAGATCATTTCATGTTACAGTGTAGTTGTTATCAATGACATACACATTTTCAAATGCATATATTATTGCCTGAAGCACATTTTTAACTATTGCAATAACTAGAGCAATATTATTGTCATAACGATGCAGCTACCAGCAGAATATCAATTTTCACTTGCAGGAAAGAGAAAGTACCAGGATAATTTGTGTTTCTTACCAGGCATGATGACTTCTGGGAAGCCCATCTTTCGAGCAACAGCTGTCCTGCCATCTACCAGATGTGGGTACTCCTTCCGCACCTGGTACCGACAAAATGATTGAACTTACAAGAACCAGGTATTGTTACTATCATACCTTCTTTATTCTGATTTGCCAACTTCAATCACAGTTCCGAAAACTAAATATTGACTAGACATTCAAAGGCTGTAAAGAAACTCATGTCTCATCATAACAACAGGACTGAGGGTCTGTATTTCTGTCATGCACAAGATCAATTGGCCACATACATGTAAGCTAGTGGTCATATAAAGCTTAACACTTAGTATATGTCAGTACCTGTTTAATATCTCCATCCAGCATTTTCATGGAAACCCACAATCCTGTAACACAAAGTTTATTGATGAACTGGCTTTTGTTCAACAATCTCAAAAATAAAACCTAAATCAGATTATGATAAAACTTTATTTCTGATATAAAAAAATATACATTGTATTACTTAAACGCAAACTTTCTTGGCTGAAGCAAAAACATTCCAAGGACTCTCTAATAGTCCAGTCCAAAATGGTCCAGGAAAGTTGTGAGTACCTTGTCCCTTGTGGTTCAGCTCCCCCCTGGCTGACACTACCTTCTTGATAACTCCCTCCAGAAAGTCATTGTCCCCAGAGACTCTGGAAAAAGAAAGAATAGATAAATACAAACATTAAAACAGTCTTACAGTGTTTTCTGTTTTGTCTAAAACCTGATTATTGAGTGTCAATTGCTGGGTAGAAACATATTCAAAACAATATTGTTTATGTGAAATGTTTGTAATGTTATTGTTGCCATAGGTCTTGAAAAAGAACCCTGTACTCACTGTTGGAATGGTATGAAGTGTTGTTTCTCAATGTCTGACTCCATTTTGCCATTTACTACATCTGTAATGTCCATCACTGGAAAAGAAATAACATGTTCAAATCATTGTGTTTTTTTAGTCCTCTTGATTGAAAAAAGTCCAGGCCATTCATAGTAATCTAGGACAACTCCTTAAACACAATAAAATTTGTATCAGTTCCAAGTTTGAACACTGGATACCGGTATCCTGATCTGAGTCTCATACCTGCAACTCCAAATGGTCTTCTTAGGCCATTTGTGAACTTCTTGTTGTCTGCCTCTTTCAGATCCATCCTTCCTAAAGGAGAGAGGGAAGGTAAGAGTCAGTAATGAAGACTTCACAGAGATGCAAAGGAGGAAGGGACAGGTAAAAGCATGTGTAGTACACATGTAACCCAGTACATAACCCAACACTATGGCACATCAGAAGACATACTCACCTACTCTGATGATCTGACACAGCAGACATATCTTTTCTCTTCTGAGATCGTATTGTCCAAGGTCCTACATGTACATGTACATGACATGTTAGTCGCTGTTTAATATCATTGTACCACAGTAGACATTCATAGACAATGTTTTTCAATTTTAATTTTCAATTTCATACCTCCTGTAGAAGCTGTTGAATCTTTACACAAGGCATGTTGTGTACTAATAGTGAGTCTACAGACTGACAGAGAATTGGTATGATGACAGACTTACCGTGAAGATTGCCCTGAGGTTGTTCAGCATCTCAATGTCCTTGGGCATGCCCTGTGGGCTCCAGCTCACCACATAGTTCTCACTGTGAAATCAGTCATGTTCAAACTTAGGAGATTCATACAAATATCTTATGGGAGGTGTCAAGATTAAATTAAGCTACTACGGACTCACCACCTGAGGATGCGTGAGGAAATAAAATGACGCATCTTAAACTTTTCAACTGTTTGTGCTTCTTCTCATACCGGTACTTGTCATTTCTTGCTATTAACTTTCTTAGTAAACAATCCTCCAATTTCACCCAACCTTCACACAACTCCCACACAGTCCTTGCACCAAAATTTTGTTTCAAGATACTGGTAGATGTAAAAATAACCTGGCATGTAGCAAATATCATTTGCGCTCATGTCGCAAACTCATTTGTGCGTTTGTCCAAAATTTGTTGAATCTTGTACTCCTACATGTATGATGTAACTTTTGCCCAATATTTCTTTTTCTACAATAAGATAGTAAGTCAGCACAAAGCCTCTGTACTGTACCTGATGAACCTATTTTCCTTGGCATCGTACAGGGCCATGAAGACATCTGCGTCCTCCCCCACCCTGCACACAAAGTTCTTCACCACCACATACAGGTTATGGGAGGTGGCCTGGGTCTGGGACAACCTCTGCACACCCTGCATGGACTTCTCCCGCTGGATCCTCTCAGTGGCTGTCTCATGCTGACAGAGAAAAAACAACAATAATTTACTGTAATTTTTTTGCGGTACTTTTATGTTTGCAGTTTATGTGGCCACTTCTGTACTGCGAAGTTATCATTACCGTTAAGAAATAATTTGCAGACATTCTTTTTTTCTGGACCTGCTGTCAACGAGAACATACTGTAATTCACTTTGAGTTCACGGTGGCAAAATTTCACGGTGAGGAAAAAATCGAGGTGTTCACGTACTGATATGTTCACGGTGGCGGCAGGGGAATACTCAAAAGAAAGTCGGCGGAGGCGTGAAGCGCTGCAGTCCCCGCGAATCCCCCATATTTTATCGGACCGCACATAATAAAGTCCAAATATTTTTCACGCAAGATCGCCGGCTATGTAATTTTTTAGCAAAACGCTACGGTGGTTTGGGGTCAATATTTCGTTGTTTGCGGTTAAAAATTCACACCACACGCGAAGGACCAGACATCGAACTGTTTGATTTTCACTCGGCTATTCAAAGACGAACTTGTAAATTACATGTTCAAAAACAAGAAAAGTTTGTTTCCCGGTATTTATCTCTTGAAACACGGCGCTGAATTGACGTCGCAAAAATATTTCGTCCGCCGCGCGCCCTCCCCCATGCAAATCCAGCGTCACGTGCCCATATTTCGCGTCTCTGATTGGTTGTTGCGTCAAGCAGCAGGGACGCCGGCGGTAGAATTTGAGCCAGCCGAGGCGCTTGTAAACAACTTTTCTTTTTCTAAATATAAGCGCTAAAATGCTCTTTTCACATCCACACATCGATATTCTAGTAAAGAAATGCATAGTTCCAAGAATATTTCAGGGAAATATATATTTCTATGCGGATTTTTGGCGTTTTCGACGTGATTTTGGTGAGCACTTTTCCCGGAAGTACGGGCCTCGGCGTGGGTTGTCTTGTACCCACGCTAAATTTTTAGCGTATTTACCCTGCGTTTTACCAATCAAAACAATAAAGAACTCCCGCTAAGGAGAACCCAGTAACATTCTAGATCCCAGCAATTCAGGTTTTGATCAAATAATTTGTAGATGTGCCCGTATTTTATCGGGATGGGATAAGCGTCGCGGCGACTCATGCACCGGGTCGTGCCGTGTAAGTTACTGTAACGTTTACGCTAAGATTTTTGTACGCAGTTGACTCTGCTTGACACGCGATTCGGTGTCTCATACATGTATGATTTCTAATATTAGTTATAGCATTATAATAATTTTGATACTCAACAGTAGCTCATTTGTTATCAAATATACGGAACATCGTTACATGAAAAGCATAAGACGTGAATAATTTATTGCTGTTCGGGGCGAAGGAGTGTTAGCGGTTTGATGAGTTCACGGCACAGAAGTGACCGTGAAAACCGTGAACATATCAGTATCGTTAAAAAATCAGTAATTACAGTATACATTTGTAGTTCTGTGGACTACACCTCCATCATTCTCAGACCACGAATTTTTGCTACCGTGAACATAAAGTGAATTACATTATTATGATTTTTCTGTAAGCAACATTATGTCTTCTGAGGACATTTGTACTTTGAATTTTCAATCATCTAAATTTAAAATTTTCAACACCATCAATAAATAATAACTTCAGCATGCTTTCTTTCCTGACTAGGCCCAAAGTTCCTATGTGATCAAAACATTTTGGACAACTTAGTCTACTTGATAGTACCTCTTCCACTGCATAAAATGAGATGTCAGTCTCCCCCATATATATATATTTCTGTCTTGTCCTTCTCTTCTATTTAGGTGGAACATGCTCTAACACAGGCAATGCCTTCAAATACTTCTTTGTAACAGCCCAAATGTGAATGTAATAAAGTTGATTGTGACTCACAGCTCTGTACAGGCTGATGGTCCCTGTTGTCTCAGGGTCCAGGATTCCTCCCTGTTCATCCCTCACCACCAGGTCTAGTCCCAGTAACCTGTCAAACATACATGGAGTCAATTATTCACCATCTGTACAATTCTTATGTTGTTCTGTCAGAATTCTCAATAGACAAGATTCATAGTCTCAAGGTAGAGAACAAAATTCTGTAAAAAGTAAGATTCTGCAGTTTTTGTTTCCAGTAATTCTTGGCCAAAGCCAGTTACAATACATTACACATACATGTAGGCTTCACTACTGAGCTTGAGCATCAACCCATGATAAGAAAACTTAACATAATGCTACATTTGTGAAAGACAAATAACAAAGGACTAAAAAAAATGACAAAAAATTGTTAGAATTTGCTACTCCCTCATTTATCCACACACCCATGACTGTCACTTCAAACTTCAATACAGATGTGTAGCTAATACTAGTATCTATAATTTCAACTGCAGCGTACCTGTTGCCAAAGTCTATCTTGGAGGTGACCAGTTGCTGCAGCTCCTTGAGTTCATCCACAGGTAAGGTCCCTGACATGATCTGTCTCCGCCAGTCAATCATCTCATACATCATCTTCCTGACTGTGTCAAACAGGTCCATACTGTGTCTCTGGATGGGCAAGAAAGGATGGAGGTCATATACAATAAGTATATCTGCATGGACTCATGTCACTCATGATGGTTCCAACATTGAAATGTTGTGACTTGGCATGGCAGTTTTTGTTTGTTAGCATTGCTTGCTCGAGATTATCAACCCTGTCTTAAGGGCAGGATTGCAAGGGATGGTCACTACTGTAAGACTAAGAGATCAATCCTGACTGTCCATCACAATTAGCAGTTCAACCAATGATAGCATCGTAATTAGCTGTTCAACCAATGAGAGAGTGGCCATGGCATTGGTCTATTGTAGCTATCAAAGTTTTAAAATGTTGTCTGTGGGTGAAGTTGCACATGTGGGAGAGGGGCTAAAACTACTTCAGTTATAACTTAAGACAGGAGAGGTGACTGTTTGAATGTACGTTCGATTCATTATTACATTTACTACTAACTGAACAAGTAATGCAATTCATATCATTCCTTTAGAATCACTGAAGACTTGTGAAGTTAATACATGTATGATTTGTTGAATAACTTGATTATTGTCATATGACTGTGACAATACTGGAATCAGGAAACCAGATGATTATCCCAAGGAGATTTAAGTCGAGATAACCTCCTTGATTATCCTAAGATTGGAAAAAAAATGATCTGCAATCAGCATGGCAATCACAGCCAGGTGAGATATAAGCACCAAGAGTGTACCTTTCCAGCTTTAGGCACACTGTAGGGATCGTTCCCCCTATCCTATATACAGTGTGGAAAAAGGTAACACGTTATATACATGTACAATCATGTAAATCTATGTTCAGACCTAGCCGGGCACTATTTCATAAACAGCTTTTGGGTCAACACAAAAGAATTGCTTTGAAAAACTGTTCTAATGAGGGCTTGAAACCACTTGTCAAATTGTCGCAGAACACTGAACAAGTGAATCCATACATACCACGTAAAGCTGTTTCCATATAACTCCCCATTCTCTCAGCACTGTTGTCATTTCTTGCACCACCTTTGGATCTTTTGGTGCCACGGTTTCATTGTACTTCCTGTAAGATACAATAAAATATACAGAATTACATTCTATAATATAACAAAGACAGTATAATTCAGTATGGACCAGAGAGGACTGTAAGAGCATCAACAGAGAATTCATCTTTCACTTCCCATTTCTAGACAGGAGAAACTTGAAATTTCATTTCATAAACTGGCAACAGAGCATGAAACATCTGAATTTGACTATCAAAATCAGAAATTCGAAAAAATCATGTGAGTTTTTGCATCCAATTATTTTTTTTACTGCATACTGTATTTATGTGTGCCTTACCCTGCATTCTCCACCTGTGCCTGTTTGATGTGCACATAGCTGGTGGGGAAGATTCCCTTGACTGACTTGTTCCGCAGCTTGGAGCCTCTGAACCAGCCTGAAATACATAGAAGAATCATATAAATGGTTTATTTGCAAATTGACATAAAACTAAAACAACATTGCAGCCTAATAATACAAAGTATTGTACAAAAAGCTGAATTACGTAGTTTTAGGGAACACACAAAATATCATTAATATTTACAAACTTAACTAAATAACCAGAATATATACAATTGGTAGTTGGGTGATGCACAGTAAGTACCATCACCATCTTTCCTGTCATGAAATTTCTTACCTTTCTAGGTTTACATCAATAAGTATATATTTTGTGTTATCCACAAATACTAGTTTGTACAACATAACGGATTCAAGACCTTGTTGTCTTACCGGTACTCTCAAACTACCAGTACTCAAAGTAGATGTTAGGTGGCAGAATCATGACGTTTTCTCAGCCTACCATTCAGTAGGACACCCATTCTGTTTAAAATGGGCAGCTAGGAAAATGTTGAGATTTTGCCTCCTAACGTCTGTTTAGAGATTGCTTTGTCCTTCACTACATCATGTACATACCATCATTCTCCTCCAGTATATGCAGCGTGTCCCCAACAGTCAGGTCTAGTTTGGTCTCCCCATTGCCATGGTAATTGTAGATAGCTGGAAGATCAAGTCACACAAGTTTAGTTCATAACTTATATCATGCAAAAACATGGGTAGTCCAAAATGGTTTATTCATTCCTGTTTTTGATCTTTGATCAAACATCATCATTACTCAGAATGGCTTTGTCATTGACATCCTTACATTTAATGATTTTCATTACAAAATCATATTCGAACATACATTACATGTGTCCTTGATACCCTTCTAAAGTCGTATCTTCTAGGAAATTTACCATATTGAACATCAGTTTTTATTAACTGTTGTGAAATCCATTTGCCAGCTAAGATGAATGGATTTATATCCCCACAAAACTGCACAGTGGTACATGATATTCAGTGCTACAGTAACTGTTCTGGCTCCTTTCCTGGCTTGAAGCCCTAAAGCTGCTAGACTGGAGCAGATCCAAAACTAAGGTCTCCTGGCCTCCCCTTCAGAGTTAGAGAATGTGACAGAAGGTAGAGGGTAGTGAACAGGGAAAAGAAGAAATATGTGGTATGCATGATGGTGATGTTCACTTCATACATTGTATATGAATTTCTACAGATATTTACGAATCTAATAAATAGTACAGAGTACTACAGACATAAGAAATATGAAGTACACAGACGCTGGAGCGACAAAATTACAGCTGACTCTTCCAAATTCGTTGTAGAACCAGCGGTGCATGAAAGAAGCTGTTATCTGCAGCTTCCATATGGTTGGGTACATGCCTACAAGCAAACCACACTGGCAACTATCAAGCCTTGTGATCTTTCCTGCATCTTCATTTCATAAGAACGAAATGTGGGACTTTGAGTGAGGAATTTCATTACCGGTTCTACAATTTACAATGTATATCATCTATCACCAATACCCACGGTCTGTCATAATTCTTGTTGGCCTTATATATAAAAGAGTAGTATAAGAAAGTTGTGACTAAGCCAATTACATTTTATCTACATGCCCATATGGCTGTTGTGGTTTGTTATCACTTCAATGGTAGTGGTAAGCAGTCTGTTCTAACTCCCCTTGCTTTAGCAGCGATGAAAGCTGTGGGCAGACCAGCTATCTATGGCTTTCATGCTCTGTTATCAATTCGTAGAGCCGCACTATAGTGTAAGTGAGGAGAACCTAATAATAACCTGCATGATTCCACTGTTCATCTTACTACGGAGTCCTACAAGCTACATGTAAGACATTCCGGCATATGCACAGAATAATATACAGTGTTATACTAATTCTTAGTGGAATTCAGGACAGCAGCGTGCTATATACATGTACCATACTGTTGTCCTTAACCAAAAGAAACATTAGGTGATATTGATTTTCCCATTACTAGACATCCTGCAGTGATAAACATTAGCTTTATCAGTACAGGTGTTTTCCAGTTAAAGTCTCCAATCAAGGGAAAACCTGGGGTATACAGAATCTGTGTGTCAGGACATTTGTGGCTTTCTGCAAAAAGACAGCTCTTAATGAAGAAGTCCCTGTCAGGTAAAGTGTGATGAGAGATTATCATAATTTGGAACCTGAGGACATTGTGGGGGCAGACAGTTCACTGTATGTGTCTTACAAACTTGAGCTGTCTCCTTACATCTGTATTATAATTACATGTACCAGCGATTGGTTCTCTCACAGCCTGCTTGAAAATCCAACAACATCAAAATCTTACGATGATGTACGATGAATGGGACCCCGCCTTCTGTCATGCCAGTGTAGTGACATAGACACCAACCACTAATAGACTAATAATCCATTCTTGTTCTTGGCCATCAGCCATCCCGCCAGGTTAGAGAGGCTTCTATCATGACTCATTTATTTTGAAAACATTTTGGAATGTCAAGGCTATGGTATGTACTTGGAGTATGTACAAATGTACTTGTTGTTTAACAATGACATTTCTGGATTGCCCTGAGGAAAATGCTGTCTACGTTGTCAATATGAGGTACATAACAGGTCGAGAAACATCTGGGATTCCTGCCCTTTGTGAGCCTCAAGCCAGATGGCAAGGTGGTCTTCTGGTCGGGGTTGTTGACTTAAAAATCTAAAAGGTTCTCGGCTCGAACTCTATCAGACCCCAATATTGTGACCTAGGGAAAGGCATTTTTACACAAGTTCTACATCTTCACTCCACTCAGGTGAAAAGGATTACCTAGCTTTGGTTAGGGAGGTCTTCTTGGATGGGACACTGTCACAGAAAGCCAGAGGTCCTGTGTTTGACTCACCTCAAGCATAAGGAAAAATCCATCCCTGTGGGTCAATCAAGCCGTACAGTCCAGCCTAATGCTGCTAGTGCTGAAGTGTGTACATAGTTGTACAAGACTGATGTGTTTTATGAGTTATTCAAAACAAACAAACAAATAGATACACATCCCAGATGGGGATACATAATATGAAGCACCTGATTGAATGCAATAATAATCATCATATCATTAACGCTATGGCACAGCTGGTTCCATTCTGTATGTTGCTAGTTTTTTTTTTCTTTACTTGCACAATATTATGAGACCTCATCCAGTATCCTCCCACATCAGTAAATATACTACCCTGTTCCCTTAAACCTCTCAACTCAAATCATTACTCAAAGATTTAAAAAAATAATGGGCATTAATTAATTATCCAAACTTTGCTATGAGGGAGTGAGCATTTGATTTTTCATTACCTCAGGAATCATGGCACATTGTGCTATTCATGCCCTAAACTAGCTGGAGCTCCTGAGGGACAGATTATACTGTGCAATTATTGGCTTCGGACCAAATCAGTCCTCAATTTTCTCCCACTTAAATCCTGCATGGAACACTGGAGGGTGTTTAATAAACTCGGTGGAGTAATGACTTGGCCTGTTGGGAATAAATGGAGGAGATAATTATAATGACTTAATGTGAGAGAAATGTCCCTGGGAGTTATCTGAATAATAATGCTTCCAATCCATCACTTATGGCGATCACTGATGATTTAAAATTATATATATATTTTCTACAGTAATAAATTTAAAGGGAAGAAACCAAATTTCAGGTACCCAAGCAAATAACATTCAATGATTGTCATTAGATTTTTTTTCAAATCAATCCAAACAAATTTAGCTTATCAAGAAAATGTGAACTTCATATACATGCGTAAATTTCATATCTTACATTTACATATGCAATATATGATTATCTCCCACTTGTACATGTATACTGATGTTTCTATACCTATAGTATATACTGTAAAAATATGTATATTTGTTATTATTCCTTAGGACAGTGAACCTTAACTCTTTGTTAAAAACATGATTACTCACAAGCTTCTCACGAAGGTCCATATCATAAGGAAACAGAACAGAAGGCTTCCCTTCTTGGTACCGCTTTGATTTAAAGAGTGGCGTAGATATATCACCAGAAATATGCCCAATTCAGAAAAGCTATTTTTATAACATCCTTTCAAGAGTGAACAGGCTGAAATCAAGAATCATGCAACAATATATTTCGTACATTATCAAACATACATTCAAGAAAACTGATGTTACACACACAATTAGTAATACAAGTAATACAAATATCTTATTTTGTTGAGCTATGAGCCACTTTGTGCAAGATTCTGTAATTGTAGGGAAATTGTTTTCTTTAAATGTCAGAATATTTAGTTGGTTAGTACACATTGCCCTACATATTGCATAAAACAGGGCAATAACAGGGAGTACATGTCATTTGTGTACCTACATATACTAAAGAAAAGCAGGGATTGTTTTTTCCTGGCAAGATAAGATATTATTTAACTCACAATAAATCGTCAGGCACATGTACAATGTATAACTTGTAGCAAGTTGTACATTTACTACAACTACGTAGTTAAAATAACACACTCAACACAGTACAGATGTGAGGACCTGTTACATGTACAATGTACATTGTACCTTCACAGCTGCCAATGCCAGTTGTAGCAGTTGTTGGGTAACCATGTAAAATCATGATTAATTGCAATGACAGGTTGAAATAGTCACAACAAATCTTCATGTTGTTCTAAAATCTTTGAGTCAGGGATTTTTTTCCTCTAACACAAACAAAGCAAAAAGTGTTACTTGAAACTGTGTACACATATATGCATGAGAATACAGTATTGCCCAAATAAAAAGTGGCAGGGAAATAAGAAACTAAAAATTCAGATTTGTAGGCTGAAGGTCAAAAGGTCAGACATCAGGATCATCTTCCTCCTGGACAGGAAGTTACAGTGTCTGAATTTGGAATGTTCCATTTTATCAGCAGGGGATCCACATGTGGAGGCAGTAAATCTAAATCTGACCTGACAAATTTTTGATGATTGATTCAAGAATGACCCTAATAACAAACATCTTGCTTCAGTAACTTAAATATGATACACAGTCCACTTCTAACTTCATTTTGTCCAATCTTTTTCAGGTAGAATCAACATATGTCATGGTGTTGCATTCTTACCAAACAGATATGTTGACAACATGCATCATTGCACCTCTAGAGGGTGGGTGAGTGACTGGGTGACAACACCCATGCTGTTTTGGTGCCATACCAGTTGTTATAAAGACTAAAATGGACTCCTCAACCATCAAAGTATCAACTCTTGCAATTGTGCCTTGACTTGTAGATTGGTCCATCCAAATGTAGTTGTTGTGTACAATTATTGTACAGCAACTCCAACTTACATTAATGGCAATGACTTGTTTTTATAATATATACACACAACCAATTCAACATACATTGTATTTCAAAAATCTTTTTCATAACAAATATCCAAGGATCCTGTTAAAAAAAACTAGTACTAGTAGTAGTACCTTTTTTGTCCTTCACTAAATTTCACATATCTTCTGTAATTACAAGTGAAACAATACACTTGTGAAGTATGTGGAGGCTTGATCCCACATGCTCTAAAGAGATCTGCAGCACATATCTCACATAGGTACATCCTCGTACAGGTCAGGGAGTCATAACTACCACGGTTTACATCTCCTAGCCTCTACCAGGCTCCGCGGATCGCTGGAAAAATAGTAGAAATGGGCCGAAATAAAGGGATAGTACACCAGAGAAGATCCAGCCGGCCATAGAAGCTCCAATTTGCGACCCACGGAGCCTGTGCGGAGTCGCAAGCTTCTTTGAAGTTCACTAATCGCTATCTAATAGGTGCAAAGTGGTTAAGTACCCCTTTTATTGCTCTCCGACTCGTCCGTGACGGACCTGACACGAGCGGCCATGTGACAGGAAGTGTCAGTGGTCACGAAGTTTTGAAGTTATAACGGTCTTGTCTCGTCTTTTTCCTGACGCATTTTTTGCCCTCTGACTTGCACTGGCGAACTTTCCTGACGTTCTGTGGCCCTTTCCGTATGTTGGAGGTTATAACAATCCTCTATCGTAGTTTTCTGTGTTATTCTTTGTCCACAGCCGTACTTTTTGTGGCAGCTTTTTGTTTTACTTGTAAGATAAACAGTTATATAAACAGTCATCTGTCCTAAGTCAAAGTTATCTGTGCGGATTTCTGTCTGCTGCCGATGGCAGTCCGGGAACGAGTTCGCCGTGTGGCGAAGGACGTTTTTGGTTATGAAACTTTGCGGCAGGGTCAGGAGGACGCCGTGTTGGGGATTTTGGATGGGCACGACGTCTTCGTTGGACTGCCGACGAGGGCCGGCAAAACATTCTGCTTTCAGGCCATACCGTCGTGCATCAACTCCCCCGAAGGAGATGCTTACCGTTTGCTACTAGGCGTGGCCCTCTGGTCCGCCATTGCCTAAAATGAGTCGCCCTTGCATCGAATAGTCAATGTTTGACTCAAAATCAGCCGCAGAAAAAGAGAAAATGTCGATTCTTCTTTGTTTCTGTTTTTCGCGCCGGAGTAACCGCATCGTAACGAAACTATAGCGTAACGTGGAACCATATGGCATTTGTATCGCAAAAATAACCCAACTTCAGTACATTTCATCAACAGCAAGAAAAAGCCTCGGTCTTATGTCAGAAAAAAAACACAGATAATAGGAACATAATGTGAAAAAATATAATTTTCGTCGCGTTTTGCTGTCAGTCTCTATTTGACCTTTGTCCCAGACACAGCCACAGTGCACACACACCCGGCTGAGTTCCCGCTGGGCGCTGGCGGGTTTATGACTTGAATGATCTTCAGCGCTGACCAAGTTTCTTTGTACGAATAATAGGGGGATTAATTTTATATCGTTTGAAGCTTGCGACTCCGCACAGGCTCCGTGGGTCGCAAATTGGAGCTTCTATGGCCGGCTGGATCTTCTCTGGTGTACTATCCCTTTATTTCGGCCCATTTCTACTATTTTTCCAGCGATCCGCGGAGCCTGGTAGAGGCTATACATCTCCCACATGTTTATTTACTTAGACCTCGCCTGTCAATGACAATCAGCTGGCTTTCCTGAACAAGATCAACCTCTAGAGTCATTGTCCAGTCTTGGATTAACCTTATGAGGTTTGTCTAGTTACCTATATACTAGTACTAGTATTTAGATTTTCTTCTGTCTCTTTGAAATTGGCAATTTAGGCTATTGACAGGAAGTTTCTGTCAATAGCAATTTAGGCCATTCTTTGATTGGAGATTTGGACATACAGTGTACCCGGTATACTGAAAAAAGTGATTCAAAGGAACTTCTGTGCTTCCTGTCAATGACTTTTTGAACTATTGTCTTGTATTGGCAGGATGTTCCTGTCAATAGCCAGCCTAAAATCAAAGATTGATGGAAGATTCTTCATTAAATAAATTCAACAGTTTTCAACATGCATGTATGCAGTTGCCCAGCTGAAGCAGTAGTGGCATATGGTGTCCTGCAAACTACATTTTCACCTGATACTACAATGTTAATCTGTAATTGGGTCTGTAAGATACTACTTCCAAATGAAAAATAAAACCCGTTGACATATTTCAATATTTTTAAATTTCATCCTTTGTACATTAACAAGGTGATTTTGTTGTGTAACATTCATTCATTCAACTATAAACTCCCCTACTTATTCATCTATAAATCTATTCATTCATTCTTTACCTGGAAACAGGTTTTACACATAAAGAATAGTTTAAATAAACGTGTACGTACAGGGCATCGCGAATGCGAAATTATATGTACAACAAGTGGGTTATGAAGAATTAAGAACAACTTTGAAAGGCGTAACGTCACATTTACCCCAGTTACACCGTTTGCGCAAAATAACATACATATAATTTGTAATTTGTGATAATCTTGCCAACAAGTTGTCAAATTAATAATGTAGTTTATGTATAATAAATTTATGGGGCCCAAACATACAGAGGAAATCTTGGAAAGGGTATACATGCAGGATGTGAGTCCAATTACTTACCTGTTTACCAAGATTTATAATACACGTGATTTTATTCATGTAGTGTGTAAAAATTATACATCTGATTTTTTCACGAATCAACATACTTGCAAGTTGCAGATGGTGGTTGTTGCTCTTTTTCGTAAATCTATCAACATAGAAGGTTCAAGTGAGCTCTTTGTGTAACAAGTTCGAGATTGTGTTTGTAGAGGTACATTAGAAAGGTAGATTGGGAACGGATTTGACGATTTTAGGCAAGACAAACGTTCAACAGGAAACGCTTTTGTGGGCGTTCGCCGAAAGCGGAAGGGTGCAAAACATCCTCAGGACGCTGGAATTTCAGAAAAAAATCCCATGAAAAATCGATTAGCTCCCGTCATTGGGCCCTTAAATCAATACCCCAGGTGACCCTGTACCTACCTACGGCATATTTCCTCGTAGTGGTGGGCACCCAGCGCGTCATCTTGCGATGTACTTCACGATTTGGAGGCAACAAACGATGCTAACTTTCCTCAAACTCCACTTCCGCCATGTTGAATATCTGTGACCACCGCAGAAAAGCATAAAGAGCTGTTATTATAAGCTACAACAAAGTATTGCAATTTACCATATAATCAGAACAAATCTCTATGTAAGATGCGCACAAGCTGCACATCGTTAAGTTTCTAAATTTTCTTTGGCCTGGAAAAACATGCTTTTATTACAAAGATAATATTTATCCAGACCAATAAGGAATAGCGTATTGATGCGCTCTTTCATTTCTAGTCATGTGATCCCGGACGATCCCATTACTGTGATGGGAGTGTCAAATCTGCAGGAAACAAACGGGTCAAATCGTGCCATGTCCAATCGATTAGCGTTAATGACAGATGTCACCAAGATGGTCCGTTGTCGATTGTCTTTATAAGTTTGCTGAAAACTCAGAAAAAGGCTGTATTGTTTGTCATTACCATGTACCAAGGAGGTTGAATCACCAATATTTCATGACAAAGTGATTGGCAGGATGTCAAAGAAGAATATTAGATGCACAATTTTCTCTCAAACCGAACTTTAATACCATTATCTGGGCGCAAAACACGTTGAATCCAAGTTCATATACAACGTTAATCAATTGTTGTTGTTAATCAAGTCAATTGTTGTTGTTAATTGTTGTTGTTAATCAAGTCAATCATCGATCGTGATGTAACAAAATTTTAGTTCTGCAGGGCAAAGCACTAAAAGTATAGGCCACTATAAACCTCCTTCCGCAAGGGGGGCGCTTTTAGCAAATTATGCTTTTTGTTGACTTGTATTGGTTTACTGTTACAGCCTGTCGTTATAAATGGTTCCTATAATGAATATTTTATAATGCTCAAGTTCATACGTGAAATTCAACGATTAACAGCTACGATTTACAAGTTATATAATGTACACAATAAGATGACACCCCCTATATATATGCCGGAGTGGTATAAGCTAGATGAGGTCACAGAGGTCAGCTAAGCCTGCTAAGCTATTTGGGTATGCGCAGATTTGCAGCGATGGCAAGCGACAGCGAAGTTGGTCGTGCTCTTCGCTCTGTTCTCGACCGTGTACAGACCGCGGCTACCAAACGATCCCAGGTAAGGTTTAGTAACGTCCGGAAGCATCTGAATGGTATGATTAGCGAGAATTGTCGGTTGGTGCGGACGCCCTCTCCACTATGACCCAGTTGATGTTCTATTTTCGGATCACTGTGTATAAACAAGGAACCTGATATAACGTCCTTGGTATAAATCGGTTTTAGAGTAATAAAGGATATTTAATATACTACAGAAATGTCCTTGGAGTAATGAATGAATATCGCGTAGGAAATATGAATCTAACCCTCCTCCACCAGAGGTGTCACATATTGCCCAGTTTTATGTTTAATAATAATATAGACATTGAAAATGGTTGAAAATGCCCCGTTACCCGACCTTGCTTGCCCTTCCCCTTAACTGTACAAAATCAAATTGGTGCAACCTGCTTGTGACACATGTACCAGTAGCATGTAGTACAGTAACGTTACCAGTAGTGTAGCGTATAGCAACCTGAACACCACAACCCCTGGGTTTCTCAATTTGAAGTAAATTAAGAAGCTAAAGTTCTACAAATGTAAGCAGTCCCAACTCCAGCCTTTGTCAAGGAAGGCTTCCGAAGAACAATCCACCGCTTCTCTGGTTCATTTGTATGTGTTGGAAAATATACCTAGTGGTAGTAGTACAATGTAGTTCAATCACGATTGAGAGTTACTAGTTCTACCAACACAGGTGAACTTTTAAGGTAAAACTAAGAAAAGATGACAACTGCCCTCAAAGCAAATGAAGCACATGTACTTTACCTCTCTCTGCAGGATTTACCAAAGGTGCAGCCACGTTTGGTGGCCGTGACGAAGACCAAACCCAAGGACCTGATCCTGTCTGCGTACAAAGCGGGGCAGAGACACTTTGGGGAGAATTATGTGAGTACTCTGTATAAAGATGTACATACAGACTACAACACGGTGTTTTCTGTATCACCTGTATCACCATGGGTGGGCTGGTACCGAGGGTGATGCAGAATACACCGTGTTGTATTTTATTAATGTCATAGAACCCCGTGCTGTACTGCTACTATGACACGGGCCAGAACACCCGTATTGAACGTTATCACGTTAACGTTACATTAGGACATACCAATTAGATACATGAACTATACATATATAATGTTACATGACTGTTGTATTAAAAACAATCATGAACAGCTAATATTTCTACAAGTTTTGTTTTCAGTGCCTGGATTGTGACCATTTTTAGATGATGACAAAAGATGCCTTTTCGTTTATTGACACACAAAATAACAAGAGGCTGAATGTTTGGTGGTGGACATTTACAAACACTGTGCTAAATTCCCTGTCTTCTTCCGTAGGTGCAGGAACTGACAGATAAGGCATCAGATCCAGAGGTAAGATCATCAGGAAATGGCTGAAGCACTGCTCACTGTGGACAAGGTTACATACAATAAACTTCAAATCAAAATGTAGTCAACTCCACTGCACAACAAACAAATACTAGTATATAATTATAAGCCAACGTCTATACTTTTGTAGTTAATTATAGGTACAACAAGCTATTACATTAGTGTGACCTTATGAAGTAACCTTTTCAAGAACTGAACAATGGCTACTTTTCATTGAACCAAATGTCAAAGCTGGTAAAATTGTGTATCTGTTAGCATTGATCAAACATTGATATTAAAAATTAGTAGCCTCTCAAGCCACTCCAGAATATCAAACCTCATATACCACTTCTTTTAAAGATTGTAGGTCAGCTTAATGACATCAGATGGCACTTCATTGGACACCTGCAAAGGAATAAAGTCAATAAAGTCACTGGTAAGTGTGATATACCAGTATAGTTTGGTAAGGTCTTTTCTATCCAAAGCATCTCTAAAGTTGGACTGTGAGGAACATTTTTACCTTCTTCTCCTGTTGTCAAAAGACAACCCCACCCCTCCCTTTCCCTTTAGTCTGAAGACTTCTTAAAACTGTACCCTCAATACAATAGTTCTCAAATAAGACTGTACAACACTATGACAATACCTAACAATTAAGATCACAATTGGGGGGCACGGGGTAGTCATTACATTTGTAAACAGAATAAGAACAAGGGTGCTAAAAGTATATAAAAGAGTAATTTGTACAATTTATTTCACCAGCTATCTGTTCTCCAACCGCAGGTATACCAAACCTATACATGGTGGAAACTGTTGACTCAGAGAAGTTGGCCACAGCCATCAATGCATCCTGGGAAAAACTGGGCAGAACAGAGAGGCTGAGAGTCATGGTTCAAGTCAACACCAGCAGGGAAGAACGTAAGGAGTTACTCTTACAATTTCTCAATGATTGTGGTAAGGTAAAGTTTATCAATATTATCCTGTACAATAATGTTGCTGTTCAAGCAGTGCAGACACAAGTGTTTTTTCACCCCGCAGAAAAGCATGGCATCCCCCCTGAGCAGGTGTGTGAGCTGTATAAGCATGTTGTGGAGAACTGCCCTCATCTGCAGGCGGTGGGGATCATGACTATAGGTGTGTACGACTACGACCTGCGCAACGGACCCAACCCTGACTTCCAGGTCAGTAACTGTTATAATGTTAGCCTTTGTTCTGTATCTGTATAGCTGCTATAACCGTCCTTTGGCGTATCACCAGCTTCGCAGGCACACGGTGTGGCAGCAGCTAGAGCTGGCTACATTACACCAAATGACTTGTTACACCTAGCCCATGAACATCTAACTCTAAACATTGTTTAAAGCTACCTAATGATAATGCCCCTACTTTACTTGGTGACACAGAGTTCCACTCTGCAATAGTTCTAAAATGAGTTTTGGACCTCTAGTTTTGCAATTTCTTTAGAATTTTCTATTGCTTTAAGGGCAAATCAGTGATGGAGAGCATTTAGGACTGTCAGTTGAAGGTGGTGTTTGATTATGTTGGCAGGTGCTGTTGAAGTGTAGAACAGACATATGCCAGGCCTTCAACCTGCAACCAGAAGAAGTGGAACTGAGCATGGGCATGTCTACAGACTTTGAACATGCTGTAAGCAATCCACTTTAACTTCTTGTATTAAGTCCTAAATAACTTTGTGCCCACTAATAGTGTTGTAACCAATGAAGTTTTCTTAAAATGTCAATGTCACATCATTGTCTTATTAATGATTGGAAGGAATTGAAGGCTAATTGTCATTGAAATCATTATGTTTAAAAAATGTTTGGCAGAAGTTTGACCATCTTCTCTGAAATAAACTGTCATCTCTTAAATTGACATTATATCTAGAAAAAGTATAGTTTTAAATATTGTTTGGCCTTTCATGATACCATATTGTACATGTTTTGATTAATACTAGGCATGCAATTGAAACAATCTTGAAGACCTGTTACCTGTTTTGTATCCATATTAGATTGAAGTGGGCAGTACAAACATCAGGGTGGGCAGCACTATATTTGGAGCAAGAGAATACCCAGGCTCTAAACCACCTCCAAAGACCACACCCAACAACCCAAATGCCACACCTAACAACCAGCAGCAGCAGACATCTACAGACAAAGTGGAAAGTACCAGACAAGAAATAGATTCTCTAAATATAAAATCTTAATGTCAATTAAGTTGAACATTTTACCTGCAGAGTGAAAAAAAATTGAGCTTCAAGACTGCTATTGTGCAGGGAGGACTCCAGTTCCTATGGAAACTTGTATTTATCAGAAGTGTAACAATAAAAGGCTTTTAGTTCAAATTGCCTGTTTCATTGGTGATTTTTTTTCATTTGCATGTATCCAAATATATACTAATATTGGGTGACTTTAAACTCTTATTCAGCACCAGGGACAGGGGTACCAGTTTCGTTTCTGTGTCATTCAGGGACAGTGCCACCGGTCTTGTTGGTATGTCATTCAGCACCAGGGACAGGGCCACAGGTCTTTTTGATGTGTCATTCAGTACCAGGGACAGGACCACAGGTCTTTTTGATGTGTCATTTAGCACTAGGGGCAGGGGTACCAGTCTTGTTCATGTGCCATTCAGCACTAAGGGCAGGGGTACCACGTGCAGTCTTGTTGATGTGCCATTCAGCACTAGGCAGGGAGTACCAGTCTTGTTGGTGTGTCATTCAGGGACAGGGCCATCAGTCTTGCTCATGTGCTATTCAGGGACACCAGTGTTGTTCATGTGTCATTCAGCACCAGGGACAGGACCACCAGTGTTGTTATATGTCAGATAGCACTAGGGGCAGGGGTATCTGTTTCACTTGTGTGTCATTCAGGCACATTCTGCAATAGTGGTAAGGTAGTCAGAAGTATTGTTGGTGTGTAATTAACAACCTGGTGTCATTTGGGGAAACCAGTTGTTGATGTGTGATTTAAAACCAGGGACATCAGTCTTGTTGGTGTGCCATTCAGCACCAGAGGCTGGTCTTGTTGGTTCCAACAGAAGAGAGACTGAGCCAAAATATATCCCACATGATTGAATTTATTGGCAATGTAAAACATGAACAGACATGTCAGCTGGAATAGATGGTTTGTAACACATAAAGTATGGAGTACTGCTGATCATTACTTCATAACACGGTGGGAGCTGCACAGATATTCTCTTCTACATTTCTGAAATTTTCTGAACAGTGTAAGAAAAATGAAAAATATACAATGTTGTACATTACATGGATTATCTTGATGGTAAGACATATACCCGTGTAGCCAACTGGTACAAATAGTATATACCACAGTTAAACTTTATACTACAACATGGGAACTGCACAAATATCCATTCTACACTATATTACATATGAAAATTGCTAGAGCAGTGCAAGAAAAATAAAACTATACAACAGTTGTACGTGGATTAACCTGATGGTAAGACACTGTATACCTGTGCAATCAAGTGGTACAGATATATACTTACATTACTTCCTACCACACAATGGGAGCTGCACAAAGGTTTTCTATAACATTGTATACTGTTACAAATGAAGACTTTCTGAACAGATGCAACAAAATGGAAAATGTGCATTGCAAAGTTGCAGTAACATATTACATGGCTTAACATGGTGGTAAGACAAAGCTGTACAGTCAATCATGCTGGAGTCTTATGATACAGGTAAATCTGTGATGAACACTAATACACAGTTCTAAAGACTTAATGATGAAGTGTAATCTCTGTTAAAGTATAGTGTTAATGTGCTACCTGGTCACCCTGAGAGTTTGTTCAAGTCATATTACATTGTTATATTGCTCATCCCAAGTTTGAATTGAAAACCCATGATGTTCAGACAGTGTATGAAATCAAGAACATTGAAATTACATATACAGTCCACACACATGTAAGAATTTTACAAATACTGAAGCTAGCTATTAAAGTTCTCTCCAATACATGTACACAACATCACATGTCCACATTTACCATAAAACTACTGTTCATTGCAACAGAACCTAGAAAGAATGTAACATAACCATTGTTATAGATTGTTGGAAACAATCCAAGTGATTCTACAACACTGCAACAGAACATACAGGTCTTCCACACACCCCTACAGCAGTGTAACGGTCAGTGGACAAGTCTTCAGACTTGTACAGGAACTGGACACTCCCCCTCCACAGGTCCTACTGGAGACCACCTCATGTGTACGTTCCTCCACACCCCAGTCCTACTCAGGGTTACATGACACAGTCTGTCATAGATGGCTCACATGAGATGATCTCACTCCAACTACACCAGACCACACAGTACAGTTCCACTGCAGCTGGGGTGGGGGAGGGGACGTCAGAACCAACTCCACAGATAGAAGGCACAAGTTCCTGACGGACTAGTCCAACCCCCCATCACCGCTAACAATCTGACATGGTTTGTGGTGTCCAGTAAGGATGGGGCCCGACATCCCGACTGGCAGGTCGGGTGCAGGGCAGCCATCAATCTCTCACTGAACCTCACAGAGACATGCCAGACAGATGGGGCAGTGTGAGCAAGCTGAACAGTCTGAAAGAGACAAGTGTCTCCTATCTGTAGAGTTGGTCATGACGTCCCCTCCCCCACCCCAGCTGCAGTGGAACTGTACTGTGTGGTCTGGTGTAGTTGGAGTGGGATCATCTCAATGTGAACCATCTATGACAGACTGTGTCATGTAACCCTGAGTAGGACTGGAGTGTGGAGGAACGTACACATGAGGTGGTCTCCAGTAGGACCTGTGGAGGGGGAGTGTCCAGTTCCTGTACAAGTCTGAAGACTTGTCCACTGACCGTTACACTACTGTAGGGGTGTGGGGAAGACCTGTAGGATCTGTTGCAGTGTTGGAAAATCACATGGACTGTCTCCTACAGTCTATAACAGTGATTGAAATAAAAAATAATATGTAACAATCTTGGGCTGTACAAAAAGGTGCAGATAATCAAATACAATTTTTTCTCTCCCCAGAATAAACATCAAAATTGTGTTATATCATACATGTACAAAAAATACCCCGGTCATTATACATAACCACATGTCAGGATACCAAACTTCATGTCAGTATGCAAAACTACATCAAGTCATTATACAAATCTTTGTGTCAGTATACAAAAAGCGATTGCACAGAGTCTGACATATTTTGGGACTATAAATTAGTACATTGTAAATTCTGTCTCTCCAGCATAATTTGTGCCTAAACAACCTAAATGTGTATTTCGGACTGTACAATAAGGATTGCAGAAAGGTATGTAACATTCTCCAGCATAATTTCTATCTGAACATTATGACAGGTGCTGTACATTCAACAACTGGGAGTTTATATACTATTAGGTATAATGTACAATACAGTTTTACATATGATTATATACACACAGTTTCAGGTGCTGTACATTAAACTACTGAAAGATTGCACAGGAATAATGTCGATTAAACAACAAAGTTTTACATAATATTTACATATACACACAGTTTCAGGTGCTGTTGTTGAAAGTGATAATATATATTACACACAGTTTTGGGTGCTGTTGTTGAAAATTATAATATATACACAGTTTCAGGTGCTGTTGATGAAAAGGATTGATGATTTATGCACACAGATTCAGGTGCTGTTGTTGAAAGTGATAAATATATACACAGTTTCAGGTGCTGTTGTTGAGAATAATATATACTCACAGTTTTAGGTGCTATTGTTGAACATGATGATATATACACACAGCAGTTTCAGGGGCTGTTGTTCAAAATGAAATATATTCACAGTCTCTGGTGCTGTTGTTGAAAATAATTATGCAGTATCAGGTGCTGCTGTTGAAATGATTATATATACACGCTGTTTAGATACTGAAAATTCAACAACAGAGATTGACAATGGCAATACAGTTTTACACATAGTTGTATACACACATGAATCATTGCCAATAAATATTCTGTGCATGATGGTAAGGCATCCACTGTTCCACCAAACTTACAAGTCAGGTGATGAGGGGTTGGGGCTTTTATGGCGCCGTTTTTGGGACTTTTTGTCCTTCAGCGAGGCGCGGTCGGTCTTCTGGCGCCGCTTGGTGCTGCGGACTTTGGACTTGTCGCTGGGCTGTTTGAAGGTCACAGTTTCTGATGTCGTCTTCCCGACTTGCTTGGTGCCAAACTGCAGCTGGTGTGGATCATGGACAAAAGAAATGGTTAGAAAAACAGGAGCTGCAGCTGGCATCATGGAGAGAAGAAACACTTGAAACAGGACAGGAGCTGCTACAGTTTCCTTCAGTCAGCCATTCTGTCTCTGGGAAGGACTTTATACTACCTAATCACTCAGTCCTCCTTTAGTTATGGAACAGGAAAAAAATCATATCTTTCTTCCCAAGGCTCTTACATGGTACACAGTGCTTATGTTGATTGTTATGGGCAGAATGTAAATACACTTAGACTCACCGGTGGCAACTGTGTTCCCATGTCCTCATCAGGGATGTTGGGTCTGGCAGCAGTGGAGAGAACACCATCTCCTATGGAGGGGAGGCTTACACCTGTATAAAACACGACAAATGGAAGATTAAGTCATTGGTGTGCAATGTGCAATATACTAGATCAGACACCTGATACTTGCAGTTACTAAACATACACTACAAAACAGATGTTTGAAGTTTGGTTCCTACACTACAAAACAGGTGGTCGAAGTTTGGTGGTCAAAGTTTGGTTCCTACACTACAAAACTCATCAGGAGTTTGAAGTTTGGTTCCTACACTACAAAACTCATCAGGAGTTTGAAGTTTGGTTCCTACACTACAAAAGTCTCCAGGTGTGTGAAGTTTGGTTCCTACACTACAAAACTCACCAGGTTTGTGAAGTTTGGTTCCTACACTACAAAACTCACCAGATGTGTGAAGTTTGGTTCCTACATTACAAAACTCACCAGGTGTGTGAAGTTTGGTTCCTACACTACAAAACTCACCAGGTGTGTGAAGTTTGGTTCATACACTACAAAACTCACCAGGTGTGTGAAGTTTGGTTCCCTGCAGCATCAGTCCTGGATCTGAAGTCAGGCTGGGTAGGACAAGCCTCTCCTTCCTTGCCTTGTGCTTGTTCTTGGTGGCTTTGCCCTGGACCGGTGTCCTCCTGTCCTTGTTCCTGGTAGGGTCTGACTCCATCATCTCCTCAAGCCCAGCTTTCCTGATGAAGTACATCCAGTCCTTTGTCTTGTCCTGGATGGTGGGTGTGTCAGCCTCCCTGCTCAGGTGTCCAGGCTGTGGGGATGTCTTGTAACAGCTCCGTACTCGACCTTCATCCTGCCAGTCAAGGTCACGTGCTTCAAGAGACGTCATGCTCACGTTGTCGAGCCCGACATTTGCCGTGTAGTCAGGTGGTGTCTCCACACGAGTTTTCTGCTTCTTCTTGTTCTTCTTTTTCTTCTTCTTAGCCTCGTGGTTTGTGTCTGCTTCCATCACCTGCTCCACCACAGCTGCTCCGCAGTCTGCCTGCTTGTCCATCGTGGGGGTGGGAGCTCCAGCAGGGTCGGTAGAGTTGAACTCCTCTTTGAGATGATCCATCCAGTCGTTGAGCACTGCTTTTGTTGGGTTTCTCTCCTCATAACGTCCGAGTGAGAATACCTGTTGCTCTTCCACAGACTTCAACGTGGGAGTTTTCGCAGCGTGCTTGCGGGCTGTTCTGGCCCGTGTTTTGTCAGCTCCCATGGGCTCGCGTACCTTTTTCTTGGAATCCATCGTTGCCACGTAGCAATCCATTTCTGTCATGTTTTCATCATTCCTAGAGCCCATCATCATGGAGACAAGAGCTGGGGTCTGCGGACGTCTGGAGGGTTTCCTTGGTCGCTTGCCCTCTCCCATGTTGTTCTGCTTTTGTTGGATATCATTCATCCTTTCTGCATACTCTTCAAACACCGTGGCATTTTCGTCCGGGTGTGTGGGAGTCTTGGCATACCTGTGTTGAGAAAAATGAAAACTTATTACTCAAAGACTTTACTACCGGTGTTATTAAAAGATCTTTACTCTTTACCGAAGAACAGATTCTGCCATGAACAAACCCTTACCACAGGACAGGTGTACACGAAACTTGATAATTACCTGTTAGCTGCCGTGAATCCACCCTGAGGAGCTGGTTGTTTCCTGTTTAGGTTGGTGACGAGTCTTGGCGGGTTGTCCCACTTAGGTATACGCTCCCTGGGGAGTGAAGGCAGTGGTACAGGAGACAGTGGGGGGGCATCCAGGAGAGAGGACGGTGGAACGGCTTCAGGGGTGGGGACGTGTCGACGGCCCCGGATGATAGCGTTACTGTATTTCTGCTGGCGCAGAGCATAGCTTTCCTTCTTAGACTTAGAGTTGCTCATGTTGATTTTTGTTGTTTAATACTAACTACTGAAAGATGAAAAGAAAAAAATTGTAAATAATGCCTGATGAAAACCTTGTCTGATTTGGGGGACTGGCTCACAATATAGTTATAATATACAACATGCAGGCAAAGAACTGATAATTCTTTTACATATGGAACACTTATAATGAGTTTAAAGATCTTCAAAGTGAAACTGAAAGTGGTAACCCAACCAATTGATATAATATGCTCCAACGAGAATATCTTAAGTTCACTTTTGTACACAAGAAGATTGTTCATTTCATCCCATAGCTCAAGATATCAGAAAACATCAATATTGTTTATAATATTAACCCATGCCAGATCAACGTAACCCAGACAGTACGAGTTATGGGGCAATAAACAAATATCTTCAAGAAATGATATTTTTACAGGCATTCACAGTTGTGCGTCCCACCTAAACCTTGGACATACATGTACGTTACGTTTCTACGGGTTCTAAATTGGCCATCGTTAACGGTTTGTCGCTGCACGAACGTGTGTGGGGAGGGGGGCTGTCAAACCGCTGAAACACGTCCTGTCAATCCAGTTGTCGTCTCTGGACCAGAACCATGAACCACCACAGCCGGCCACTGGACCTTGTTACGGTAAGAAATGTACTACACACCGCCCAAAAGTCATGAATTCTACCCTTAAAACTCCACCCTTCCAGTTCTAAACACTTGAAATCATCATAACTTAACAACTCTCTTATATCTTACCTTGAATGATCTTCGATGTTTGATGCTTGAACAAAGTCAATTTTGTCAGAACGAAGAATATAGTCCATAAACAAATTATAAAGTTTGTGATTAACAAAACAACAGTTCTCTGATTTTCTCTATGACAGAGTCT